CGGGGCAAGCCCTCTTAGGAGTGATAACAGCAACTGGCTCATAAACAGCATCCTTCCTCAGTGTTCACCTGACCCACAGGATATTCCTCCATCCTTGTCCTGCCAAAGAGAGGGAAAACAGACTGTCCCACTGCTGTCCTCTCCAGTTCCCTTTCGCTTGCTCACTACCAGCGGGGCTCATCAGCAAGTAAGCTACACATCCCACTAGAACGGTTGGTCCTAGGAGGTCCTAGATTCTCCTCTTTCAGGCACCCCAACCTTTACAACTGATTATCTCAGATCCCCCCACCTCACATGATTCAGTGAGTAGAAACCACCTAATAACTGATGCTTGTAATTAAAGGGAAAAAAGAAAAGCTTCCAATGTGAAAGCCTATCTATACAACGAAAAAATCGCTTACAAGGCGAAATGAGACGCAATAACCGCAGGACTGCCTTTGGAGAAGGAGCAAGGATAAAAGGCTGAGCACTGGCACAGGCGAGAGCCCGCCTTCCCTCACCCCTTCTCTTTATGCCCACACTTCCTTCAGAGGAGCTGGCGCCAGCACAGCTCAGAGGCCTCCTTGCTCCTCTGGCCCTGGCCTGACTTTGGTTGAGCTTGTGGTTGGTCCTTCAGCTCTGAGTCTCTAGCTTCACTGAGTCTGTGCTCAGAGGGGTCAATCCTCCTGGGCCTGACAGTGGACACAAGGCTCCCCTGGAGATCTTTGTCAACAGACAGCACCATGGTCAAACAGGAGAATGGGCTTTGGTGTCCGAGAATCTGGGCTCTGCCCTGAACTAGGTGACCTTGGGTGAATCATTTAACCTTTCTTAAAGCTACCGTATCCATAAGGAGACCTTATCCATAAGTAGAAAAAAAAATCTCCCAATTTGCAAGATTATTATAAGAATTAAATGAGAAAGTGCCTGGCATGTTTACAAGCTCAGCAAAGTCCCAGAACAAATGCATTTGATAAAGTCATGAACATGGCTGAGGCAAAATGGATTATCTCTCATTTTATAATTCAACAACTGTTTCGTATCTTCTTAATGCACCAAATCCTAGCAGTAATGTATGACCTCAAGGGGATAGTTTTTTTTTTTTTGAGTGGATATTCAATGCCTGTTGAGGATCTCACTGCCTTTACCTCTCAAGATTTTAATGCCAACAAGCCATTCGGATGGCTTTCATCTGAACAGGCAACATATGGGTCGAGCCCTGCTAAAAGGACAAGGATGAGCCAGGCTGCCACCTAACCCTTCCTCTTTTTAGTGAAAACTGTGAGCAAACCTGGGCAATGCCCCATTTGCCACTGCCCACCATCCATTACAAACATGAACTCGGTCTGCTGGCTACCAAGGAAGCCTAACACACTCTGGAACAAAACTCAACAGATATAATCTTTAATAGAATGAAAGCTCTAAGCAAACAGTTTAAAACATGTGGAGTGTGTGTGTGTGTGTGTGTGTGTGTGTGTGTGTGTGTGTACGCACATGGGTAATATGAGAAGAGGGCACAACTTGTATGAGACACAATTTTCTTTACTGGATCAGCATCAAACTTCTTATTGCTGAGAGTAAACACACTTAGCGCTAAATATACCACTTCAAATCAAATCCTTTGGATTAATTTATTTTAAATCTGGAATATGCCCGGCTCAACAGCTGCCACATTTCCCAGAAGGTTTACATAACATAGTACACACTTGCATCACTGGCCCTTAAGTTAGTAGGCAAATCTGTTTATCTTTCTTTACACCTGGGAAAACACGATAGGAGAAGGACACCCCAATTCGGTAAAGCCCATGTCTTTCCTTGATCTTCTTGTCTTGTCTTGTCTTGCCTTGTCTTGTCTTCAGTATATATGTCTAAGAAGCAGGCATCCACTATGTCATTTCTGACTGTTTAGGAAATTCAGAACAGCTCCAATTGACTTACACAAACGGAAGAAGAAGGAAAACAGTGAAGGTTAGAAGGAAGGGGTTAAAGCATAATGAGCCAGAAAGAAAAGCACAAATCAAAAGAGAAAAGCAAAAGTCGGAGATTTTTCTGGCATCTTTCAGGTGGGAATCTTCAAGCAGAGACTCTGTTTTTTTTCCCCCAGTCAGAAACCCATACCTATATGCTGTGCTTTGAGAATTTATCTAAAAAGAAGGATATCCTTTACATATAATCTGTTAGAATGTGGTCTAGCTGTAACATCTGTTTCATCTGTTTTATCGTTGACCTCCAACGATTGGTCTGCTGATCTGGCTTCTGAGAGTAACTCCATCCTCACCGCGCCACCCACATGTGTCCCATAGCGGCACTTCCACCAGGAGCGGAGGGAAGTGTTTTGAGGTCAAGGGTATGACTAAGGCACTGATCTTACACCAGGAAAACATCAAATTAAATTATCTAGATCATGAATCACAAAATGTAATGACATGAGGGAAGCAGTGAAAACTGCCAGGGTCTGAGTGCCTACACAATGGATAGTATCCAGTTCTCATTATTTTTTATAATCACCCAGGAGTACAGACTAGGTCTATTCTTAACATCACTATTGTTAATGTCACTGCATACTTTTAAGTGACTTAGGCTGTTGATCATATTTCCTCCATCATGTTTGCTCTTATGTCCTTCTGTTCTTTTATAAAATAGCTTCATTGACATATAATTCACATGACATACAATTCATCCATTTAGTATACAATTCAATGGTGTTTGGTTTGTTCACAGAGTTGTGCAACCATCATGACAATCTATTGTTAGAACATTTTAATCATCCCAAAAAGCAACACTACCCATTAGCTGTCACCCCCCATTTCCTCCCGTTCCCTTAGCCCTAAGCAACCACCGATCTACCTTCTGTCTCTACGGATTTGTCTGTTTTGAACATTGCATATAAATGGAATCGTACAATACGTGTCCTCTGTAACTGACTTCTTTCACTTAGCATAACATTTTCAAGCTTCATCCATGTTGGAGCATGTATCAGTACTCTATTCCTTTCTATAACCAAACACTATTGAATGAATATACCACATTTTATTAATCCATTCTCAGTTAGTAGACATTTGGTTGTTTTTACCTTGGGCTATTATTAATAAAGAATAAATATTCATGTACAAGTTTTTTTGTGGACATATGTTTTCAGTTCTCTTGAGTTAGGAGTGGAATTCTTGAGTCATATGGTAACTATGTTTAACATTTAAAGTTCTTGTGCTCTTTTAACCTTTTCATGATTAAAAAAAATTTCAAACTGGGCCGGCCGAGTGGCGCGATGGTTAAGAACTGGCTTGGGACGCCAGAGGGCCCAGGTTCAGATCCCCCATATGAGGGCCAGTGACACTGCCCTCTAGAACTAAGATGCTGAACAACAGCTCAGCCTGGAGCTGGGCTGCTGTGAGTCACCCCAGATGGCATAGGCTGCAGCCCCTGTGGCAGTGGGTTGCCATGGGCTTCCGTGTGTAGCCAGTAGTCAACGTGAGCGGCCAGCAGCCAGCGTGAGTGGCCAGCAGCCGCACAGTGAGCGGCCATCCAGAAGCCGGTGACTGATCTGCCTCACCCGGGAAGAGCACAATGATGGTGCCAACTTGGGCCAGTGAAGCAACGTCCTCCACAACTAGACTGAAGAACAAAATGACAGCAACTTGTCTGTTCCCCTTCCCCCAGTTCCCCAGCACTGCTCCCATCCCCCCAATTCCCCAATAAAAATCTTAAAAAAAAAAAATTTTTCAAACTAAGGTTTTAAAGTAAAGGTTTCTAAAAATCCTCCTCTCACCCCACAGGAAAATCCACTATTAACAGTCCATTATACATGCCCTCAATTTTTTTTCAGTGTGATGAACAACATATGATTTTAAGAATATAATTATTATTACATAAATGGGATTATACCGCACATATTTTCTGTTTCTCACTCTTGTTGTTTAATAGTCTATCTTGGACACCTTACCATACCCATATGGAAAGAAAGAGATGTGTGTACCTCTCTCTTTCATCAGTAATAAGTCTAGGTATATTTTCATTATTAGAAAGCAATTAAAATGCTAAATATGTTGATTAAAGGCCATTGTGCCCTGTCTACTCATTTTGTCCTATACGTTTCATGAACATATAGGTGATTTTGTTTCCACATGTTCACTGGCACATCCCTCTGAGGATTCCATTTTTTGACTGGTTTACAAAGAAAAACATGGGTCAAAGGAATAAAACTGGAAATTATACTGAACTTAATGCTAACTAGAGTTAAAATGTAAAAGTGAGAGGGAGGTAAGTTGAGGTGGACTTGGCATACCTCTTGAGGGCTAGATCTATTATTTCCTATTGGCTGTTTTATTAAATGATCGCATTAATATATGAATACATGCGTAATTGTAAAATAATATTTTCAAACAAGAGACAAATAGAAAGTTCTCTACCTCCTCAAATCCTCCCTTCTCCATAGAATTTTAATAGGTTGGTGTTTATCCTTCCAGATCTTTTTCTATTTTAATACATTTTGTTTACATTCCTATAGTTTGGGGGTTTTTATACATAAACACAATAGGATACATATTATTTTGTGACTTTTTTTACTTAACATTATATTTTGTAAATATTTCCAAGTCATAGATAAAGATCACTTCAAGCTGTATTTGAAATAATATAGCTGAACATCTCACAAAAATTGAACTGCAGGAGCCCCATAATAAATTTCATATTGTCCAAGCAGGTAAGGTCATTTTAGAACTGAACCCAAAACTATTTGGCCTATTTAGGAGAGTGATCTCCAAAACAAAACTGCATGAATTTGATGCACTCACTATGTACCCAGCACCATGCTTGCAGCAGGGGAAATATCAAAAGTACCTGACTGAGTCAGGAACTTAGGACACTCAGGAAGTAGCCATGCAGGGCAGCCAACTGCTGACTGCGCAAAGAGGAACAGCCCCTTCGCAGGTGAAGCAACCTGACCGGGTAGTCACTTAGCTTTGCCGCGGGTCTCATCTCATGATTCAGGCTGCAAAGACATGCATCAGGATGGTCACACTTACTTTGGGCCGAGTGTCAACGACGTAAATGAAGTCGCTTCCTGGGTTGGCTTTCCTGATGGCCTGGAGCATCTGCTCATCCTCCAGGCACCGGGCACTGAAGCCTGACAGGGGCTGGCTGCTCCGACAGATGGAGGCCTGCAGGGAGAGAGGAGGCGACACGGCAGCGTCAGGCAACTGTGCAACTACACCCACCAGGGACCTGCTAGGCTAGGCTATCTACACAACATGGGCTTGTCAAAGTATCATGCTAATGCCTTCTGGAAATCGAGGTTGGTTCCTGTGTAATTCAAGTCAAAGGGAACAATGCAAGGGCAAGCAGTGCCAAAAAGTTCTCTGGGTAAGAAATTAGAACGTGTAAGGATGTTTGAACAGGATCCAAAGTATGAAATTTAAAGCCATTTAAATCACCTACTTCCTTTTTTCATGAGTATTGTTTCATTTTCCTCCTGAAGGTAGAACTATAAAGTAAATAACTATTTTCCTAAAATGTATAGGCGTTAATGGCAAAACTATAGTAAAAAACAAACAAAAAAGCATATTTTTAAAATGTTTTCCATCTTTTTTAACTAGCCCATTTAAAAACATCAGATATACTGTAAACCAATTCTAATCCTAAATGGGAGAGCTTTCACTGTGATGACAGCACAGGCTGCCGCTGGCTGTGGCACCTAAGGATACCAGGCACATACCTCGGCTGACCCAAGCACATTAAAAGCAAGGGGTTTCTTTGAAATCAATCTGCATTCTATTCTGCAATTTCCCTATCCTGCAATTCCAGCAGAATATATTGTTTTGTAAGACATATACAATAGCATAAACATTTCCCCAAGTTCTGAATAGGCAAGGACAGACAACCTTAAAGCTCCAAAATTTATATATTCATGGCAAAGTGCTTTTTATGGACTCAGATTTTAACATTTAAATTAAACTCAAGTTACCAAATACAATATAGGAATGGCTCTTTCTAGGAGTATGCACTGCGACCATGAGTCCACGGTGCAAGAGGATGGAGGCAGCAGTGGTCACTCAGGAGGAGAACCCTTTCACTCTGGCCAAGCTGAGCAGGGGCAACTTTTACTGCAAAAGTTTATGTAGTCCCCACATAGCCTGCTCAGGGCACCTGCGCTGCAGGACTCTATCCAGGAAAAGGCACCCTAACTCTGAGTTCAAGTACAGCTGAACTGTCCCTAAAGCTCAACCCAGGACAAGTCGGCGAGAGTTGGAATTCTCCAGAAAAAGGTGAACTTTGGTACTCCTCATCAGAGAAGGCCAGGACCTCTCTCACTAACTATGCCATCCTTCAGCTGAGGATCTGCTGGCAGGACTGAGAATCACAGAATAGCTAGACCCATAGCTGGGCAGCTGTCTGAGGGTTCTGGTATGAGTCTGTAACAGAGAGCGGCAACTAGTGAGGTGGTTCAAGGAACTCAGGGCTGCAGCCTGGGTCAGAATTCAGGAGGGCAGTGCATGAGAAAGAGGGAAGCAAAGCAAAGGGCCAGCAGAGTTGCTCCAGGGCTGTTTAATTCTTAAATTGTTTGCAGCAGAAGTTCAACTGCCATGCGGAGGAGAAAGGGACCCTAAGGTCTGAACATGGACGAGAGGACAGACAGCTAGAGGGAGGTCCAGGAGAAAGGCGAAGTTAGGGACCGAAGTGGGTTGGGAAACAAAAGGCAGCTGCATCCAATGGATAGAAAGCATGTTGCCACACATGGCTTTTCACAGTCCTTCATCCAGGGGCCTGTGTCTCCTGGTCTTCAAAGGGGTCAGGGTCTGCCTCCCTGCTCTGAGGGAACTCTGACTCCAGAGAGAACGATTTTGAGCTGGCTTTATCTGACAATTTATTTGGGTTAAAGAAATACGAGTTAAGGACATCTGCCACTGGCAATTTCTTAGATTCTATCAGAAGAGCTAGATGGGGAAGGGAACATATAATATTTAAATAGTGACAATGTATTTTAGAATGCGCACCCCACACCTAAACTCACTGAACTCCTGGGACTCCAGTTACAAAATGAAACCAGGTAAATGAACAATGATTACTATTATATTACCTTCAGGTGGAGAACAGCTAGCGTTCAGTGAAGGGTTAAGTCAGAACAGAGTTATACTATGAAATGCTATCAATACATTCAACCAGATATATCAATATTAAGCAGGCTACATTTTAATACGTCATAGTTATATTTTCTTAATAATCTACAGATATGCTCAAATAGAATTCTTCATTGACTCAATGACTGCTAGCATATAGTCATCAATTTTGTACAGAGCAGTAAGTAGTCTCTAAGTGTTTTTGTCCACACTGCATACACCCCAGTTAGTCAGTCTGTTGAGAGAATAACACCATTACCTGGAAGCATTTCTTACTGATGTCAGCCACCTGAGAGCAGAGATAAAACTCCTCAATGGTAAACTGTCACGAGAGCCCCTCATTTACAATGCTACTAATAAAGTATCCAACAGATTTTGAATGTTTACTATGTGGTGGGTGCTAATACAAAGAATCTTCATTTTTTAATTTAATCTCCCCATTTACCATATACAGTAAGATTGATTATTCTATAGATGAGGCAACCAGGACACAGAGAGGTGAAGTAACTTGCTCAAGATCACACAGCTAGTAAGTAATTGGGGAAGCCAGGAATCGAATCCAGGCAAAATATTTCCTGATCCTGGGTTCTTAACCAAAATAATATAGCTCCCATGTGCAGAAATATGTCAGGATGCATGGTACAGAATTAGGATGTGGCATTCAAGAAGATCTGGTTTTTATTCCAAGATTGGCTCTCCCTTGCTCTGGGATCTTGGGTAATTTTCCTATTGTTTCGGAACCTTGGTTTTCTCAACTATAATATGGAGATAATTATATGAAAACTACAGGATATGATGAGGGATATAATACTCCTAGAACTGTACCCAGCACACAGTAAATTTCAATAAACATTAGTGATAAAAGGAGAGGGCAAGAAGGTCTGTATTATTTTTTAAGGAAAATTGCCTCTTTGGAAATCTTCTAGAGAATGGTTTCCCAGAAGTCTGTACTGTGATTTTGGGGGACCATGCAATTAACAATTTAAAGCAAAACTGTTTTCTTAAAAATCATTAAATACTTAAGAAAGAACAAAGGATACAGCAATTCTAAGGGCTTGGAAATAACAAATAAACACAGATTTCTGAACACAAGTGACATTTACACATCCCTAACCGTGATCTACAAAGCTGTTAATAGTGTGATACCCAAAGGGAGTCAGGATAGCTCTATATAACCCATGTGTGGTGTAAGCCTAAAATTAATTACTGTGTGCTGTCTTGACATCTGAAAAAATTGGGAGGGCCTCAAATGGCCCAACAGTATGTTCCCCTCCACATTCTGTTCCCATGGATAAAGATTCTTCTCCCAACAGACCAAGCACAGTTCCTGCTCATCCTGACTAGAGGGTTTTAGTTCCCTGCCAGCCCATGGAATTACTCAGACAAGCCGATTGCATCCTCCTGCAGGAACCAGGGGTCACCTTGTGTCACCTCACTCTCTTGATACTACAAACTAACAGAACTTACACAGCTAAATGAATATTTGCCTTCGAAGGAGGCAACACAGAAGGCTATACTATATACTTGCTCTGGTGAAGCTGGCATAGAGTGAGGTATTTCCAGGAGCCTCCATTTAGAATCTGATGCAGACCCTACCCTACCCCCTGCCGACAGGGGCACCCATGGGCATACACACTCACACACACACCTGCTGCAATTGTTTATAGCCTCACTTGGCTTTGAGTCCAAAATTATATTACCTATCTTGAAAACCAAATTTTTTCACCTGGCTCAAATCAAATAACTTCTGAAGTGGGTGGCAAAGACCATTCTCATCTTCCCAGATTTGTTTTCTTATCTTCCACAGAAATGGAACCATGGTTTTTAACTGTTCACAAGGTTACCCATAAGGCTATACTTTCTCACCGGCCCTGTGCAGTTCTGACCAAGGGCGTGAGCAGAAGTGTCATGTGACAGTTTCGGAAACATTCCTCAGAAAGCTGTGAGTGCATCATTAGCCCTCCGGTGTCCACCTGCTGCCGGGTGGAGGTGACGGCTGGTACTGAAGTCATATCTTACACCAAACCCTAGGCATAGCAGACCAGACAGGTGCGTGGGGCTTGGGTCCCTGAGGGCTCAGCGGTGGAGAGCCAGGATTCCAGGCCTGGACTGCCCACCTTTGGAGTTTTATGGCAGAGGAAAAGTTCTACCCTGTAGAAGCCACTGCTACTTAGTTCTGGTAGCTGCAGACAAACCTAGTTCTAGCTCTTACAAGTAATATAAAAAAAATAAAACCCACTCTCCACAAACAACGATTTTCTATGCTGAGTATACTCAAAACAATCTGCCATTAAGAAAAGGACAAGAAGGTGCCATGGATTTGGGGGCTTTTCTAAAATAGGCATTGCAAAAGGGCTCCAGGTGACCACTTAAAAGAGGACACACTCACGCGCATGATTCAGTTTAAGTATTTTCTGACTCAGTCCCATGACTTTAAAGTCAAATAAATGTGAAAGGTCAACTTCTACATGAGATAAGTGTTCAAGTGTAGTTGTGTTGTTCATACCGCATGCAGCAATACCTTTAAGAATTCAAACACACACGCAGAGCAGTTGGCCACTAGAAAATGCCTACTGATGATAAAACAAGAAACAAAGCATAAAATAAAAGCATGCCTGGGACTTACATGGTTATCTTTATAGTAGTAAGAAAGGGCTGGAAATCGTCGCCTACTCCGGAATTTGGAACTCCCCACTATGATGTGTGCCGTGGCCGATTTGGGAACATACAGCTCAGTCGGGTAAGAATCACAAACCTGTCACAGAAAATACAAGGGGATTTTTTTAGGCAATCTAGTAACAATGTTTTGCAAACTGCCACAGGTTGCATGTTTACATTTTCTTAACCAAGTTAAAGGAAGTTATTGGGAGAAAACCAAAAGCCACTTCAAAGAAATGAAATGCTGCTGATTCTATGAAATCATAGTAAAGAAAAGCAAAATAATCTTTAGCATCTTGTCCTTGTGCACTGTCCCTTCTCTCTAAGGGCTCTTCGTGTGAGGCAAGATGGAGACAAACAAACATTTCTTTCATTCAAAAGGAACACATTGCCATTCTGCATCCTGGCAGCAGAGGAAACTTTAGCTGCCTGTTTTCACTGAAAGATAGCCTGACATTGGGAGACAGACAACTTCCTAAAATGCAAGCACCAGTGGTGATGTCTTCAGGTCACCATTCTGTCCCTGCACACACTATGTCACTCCTGCCTGTTAATGGATGCCCTCCCCGGAAACCCCTTCCCTTGATCTTCCCAAATCTCATCCATTCTTCAAGAACCAGTCCCATTCCACCTTCCTCAGGAAGCCTGCTCCCTGAGCTCTAGGCTCATGTAAATTTCTAGATCTGATTTCCCACCACACAACATAACAGCTTTATTTCTGTTTCTTATGTGTCGATTTTATAAGTGGTGAGAAATCATTTGCTCTCTCTCGGAGCATCCCTGGTGCCTTAGCATGATCTTGCAATTTCGTCAGAAATCAGCAGTTTAGAACCTGGTGTTGATTCGCCAACTTCATGACCTTCCGGAAGTCAAAGGACACGGAGCGTTTTGGTTTTCTGACCTCTAAAACTGATATAAAACAGATATGTTGCCCCACAGGGTTGACATAAGCATAAAATCAGATAACACCCATGACAAAGCACTTTATAAATGATTAGGTCTGACACAAATGTTGGTGTTGGCAACAGTCATGTCAGTTGATTTGTTGCTAGACATATTTTGCTTTGACATCAGCCAATCAATCTTTTTGCAATATGAAGATGGTTTAGGTAGCAGTTCCCTGGGCTTTGCCAAAGCAACTGTTCATTTCCTGGAAGTCAAGCATCTTCTTGGGCATTTCAAGAGAACTCTTCAAGCAGGTGTAGCAACAGAGGAAATGCTTTAGCTGCATATCTTCTGTCCATCACCGTCCCCACTTTCCACTCTGAAAGATGAGACGGAAGGGAATGAAAACCCACCACAAGTGAGATCCAAGCCTACAAAGCTCATATACATTGCTCTGTGATGATGCCCTCCCATGCCTGCCTGCCCTCGTTGTCCATCGGACTGATGAACAACATCGAGCAGGAGATAAAAGGGGCCACACAAGTGATATTTCCAGGCTCAAAGTGTAATTTCATTGTCAAAGTCATTTTAGGGAAGATTACCAAAAACTTTAACGTGGGTTCTGGCAATGACTCTGGAGGAAAATCCCATTCCAATAACAGATTTGGACCCAGAGAGCTTTTACCAGAATCACTGCCACAAGACACTGTGCTTCCGTCCCCATGCAAATCTGGTGTCTGATTCCCCCTTAAGTCAGCTGGCTAAGACATGACTACACAGACTACGCCTGCTTGTCTGAGGTTCAAGAGACATGCAGTCATTGCCCCAGACTAATAACATTTTCTTAAAATAACAGCTTTACAAGGGAATTGGTAGGTTTTTAGTAAGTTGGGGATTACCTACTTTCTTCCTTATAACAACACGAAGGAATAGCAAAATTATTTATAATTCAGTGAACTAAGAATAAGGAAGTAATGGGTGAGATTTCTCAACATCCTTATTACATACGAACTTTTTGAATAGCAAAGAGATGAGCGAGAAACTCTGGAGCTCCTGCCAGGTCAGGTTGTGGCCTCCAAAGGTCAAAAGATGCCCAGCTTGGCCCAGGCTGTGGCTCTTACGTACACCATGTCTGGTATGGCACCAAGAGAGGAGGCACACACCAGAGCCCACTCTCCTTGATGCTCTCGGCCTCAACCTACTGAGGGCCCTCTTTCTTCACAAGGAGCTGGAAGAGCCTCTGCCCTCTCATTGCACCTGGGCTCTCTCTCTCTCCATGGAGAAGGAAAAGGCACACCTTTGTGGTTGGCGTGTGCCAGGACCAAGAACTCCACAGCCCGAGCCGAGATATCAGTAGTCGGGCTTACACAAGCTGTCATGCCTCCCATCTAGGAACACAAGAATGCCAGTTACATGGACTCCTGCTTTTCCATAAGCATGGAGTCTAGGGAAAAAGACCCCATGGGTCAGAGCTTAACTATGGGTGTTCTGATAAGCACTTGCATGAGAATCTCTAAGAGGAGCTATAAAACACCTTTGGAGAAAAGTCAGACTCATGACGCAAGTGAAGTCGGGTTTCGAGATACAACTTCTTAACCAAGAAGGAAAAAACTAAGTATATCTGCTTTCATGAAAGTAGACAGCACTTTCAAGTGGAAATTTAAACAACAAGCCTGGAGAGTATTGACCGCTGTCATTTTTGCAACAAGCTCACGCAATTATAGTCAAAACTCTGACAATGAATAATGCACAGCACAGTGCTTTTATGCCACCAAATTCTGAAACTATTCAATGCACATCACAATATTTTGTCTGGTTTGGGAATTCATATAAGAAGGTTAGGAGAGAAAATGAGAAGTTCAGAAAAGTGGAAAATGCTTTCCTTTTGAATTTTCTTTACACTGACTGCCCGAGCCAATGAAAAGTGGATTAAGTTGAAATCATTTATTAATAAGTAAATTATTTTCTTTGTCATCCACTAAATAAATTAGCCTGCCTGGAGTGCCTGAATGTCTTGGTTGGCCTTGCCAAGTGGGATCTTTTTTTGTTAATTATTTCACTCACTAAACAAGTTTTTACTGAATATAGGTCTGACGAAGAAGTTTGCAAAGTCATCCTAAAAAAGTGCTACATGCCTCATTGCTGAACACCACTACAGTCACCTTCGAAGTACTCCAGTTGGGAAGCTACGCACCAATGCCAGCACCTAGTCCATCCTTCAAAGCAATTTTGAAACTTTTTCTGGAATGGCCATCAGAGCTGTCATCATATTACCTTTGATATCCTGAATGTCATCAAAATGTCTTTCTTTCAATATGTCCTTTATCTTCAGGTAAAGAAAGAAGTCATTGGGAGCCAGATCAGGTGAGTAGGGAGGATGTTCCAATACAGTTATTTGTTTACTGGCTATAAAACTCCCTCACAGACAGTGCCGTGTGAGCTGGTGCATTGTTGTGATGCAAGAGCCATGAATTGTTGGTGAAAATTTAGGTCATCTAACTTTTTCACGCAGCCTTTTCAGCACTTCCAAATAGTAAACTTGGTTAAGTGTTTGTCCAGTTTGGTACAAATTCATAATGAATAATCCCTCTGATGTCAAAAAAAGGTCAGCAACATCATGGCAACAAGTTCGCGAACTTAATTGTCAGACCTCAGACTTATTATGTGCCAGGCATTATGTTAGGTGCTAGGGCAGTAATAAATACAAAAGAGTTGTTGGCCTCTAGGACTTCACATTCCCAGGATTACTGATATTTGTTGATCTGCTTATAACCTTCCAGTCAATGTATTTTCCATTGCAGGGTAAGGTCCATCTGAGATGGCATCCCAGACATCTTAATCAGACCTCTGTATTTATTGAGGACCAATCACTCAACTGAACATGGAAGTTACTTGTCAGGAGTTGAGATGTATCTACATAGACAACTTTCTTTTTAAATATTTAGGACCTAAAGTTTATTTCAAGGAATTTATAATGTAATAGGGAGAAGAGGGAATGAGCAGCTTAAAATGATTTATATATAAATAAAATAATATATAATACACAAAACATAGATATAGAAAACTAAAACAAACAATATTTTAAAAAATACTGGTTTGAATTATACTTTAAATTTTATTCCAAGAGAAACAGACTAAAAGTTTAATCTAGTAATAAATGTTAATTATTTTATTTAAACAAAGACAATTTCAAGAGTTAGGTACAAATGGAAATCTTAGCTCAGAGAGCTAGATTACCATTCACAGTGTTTTATAGAAAGGAATAATAGATGCTAGAGGTGATGTTGATGATAATAATAATTAGTCTGTCCACACAAATAGAAAATGGCAGAACTGGTTCTGGAACCTAAGTTTTTGTACTCTATGTATGGTTTTATATCCACCATGGGCAACAGCTCCCTCTCCATCAGATGACATCACCAGCCCCACTTACCTCAAATAATTTGTGAGAAGAAAGAACTCTTGGAAAAGATGAAAAAAAGTAAACATTTTCTCAACCATGAGGTTAAAAGCCAAAGTATAATAATAACTGAAGACATAACCTTCTCAAATGACTGTTAGAAATGTTTTGAAAGAACCAACTTTTATTGTATTTCCAAATTGGTAATAAATAAGGGCACATCATCTTTCTCCCTATTTCAATGATATTTGTGAAATCAGAAAATTCCCTAGGTTTTCACCTTTCCTGTTTCAACACAATTTGTATATTGTTAGTTTTGGTTTCTGTGTGCTACTTTTGAAAAGAAATGCTGAGTAACTCATGTTTTGCTGTGGGACTTAAGTGACTAAATATGAGTCATGTTTGTGCTCATTCTAGAAGAAAAAAATCTCATCAAAAATAGGAAGAACCTAAGTTCCCAAGAAAATATTATTCCACAAGATTTTCTTCCTCACCCAAGAGTGTATCATATTTAAATAAAGGACATCCAATTCCAACTTTCTCTACTAAACTTAGGTTTTCCTTTCTTTCATTTCAACTAAAAATTGACTGCAAAGGTAAGCTTTAGCATGAGAACAAACCATCTGACTCCATTAGTAAGAAACTCTATAATGAATGAGACAAAAAGACTTCAAATGCCTTACTTACAGTGCAAGGTTATGGTTGTTAGAATTAAGTGTAAGTATGAAGAAAATTCACTATCATGATAGCACCCATTCTATCCCAAATAATCTATAAATTCAAGATATTCAGAAGAATAATGTGAAAGGACCTGACTTGTAAAATATTAAGATTTATTACAAAGCTATAATAACCATAATTATTTAAAATGTAATTATGGAAATTATATAGTGTTAAATTGTATTGTTAGCAAATATACCAGAATTTAAAATATATATACATATATATTTTATAAATATATATGTGTATATATATAAATATATATATATATATATACACACACACACATATATATATATATATATATATACATATATATATATGCTGGGCCAGCCGAGTGGCGCATTGGTTAAGCGCTGGCTTGGGACACCAGCTCTGAGCAGCAGTGCCCCGGTTCAGATCCCATATTAGGGCCAGTGATGCTGCGCCCTCTACAGCTAAGATGGTGAACAACAGCTTGACCTGGAGCTGGGCTGCTGTGAGTCGCCGAGCTTCAGTGGGCTGCCATAAGCTATGAGTGACTGGCAGCTGGCGTGAGCTGCCAAGAGCCACCATAAGCGGCTGTCCAGAGGCCGGTGACTGATCTGCCTTAGCCAGGAAGAGCACAATGATAATACCAACATTGGCCAGTGAAGCAACGTCCTCCACAACTAGACCGAAGAACAAAAGGACAGCAACTTGTCTGTTCCCCTCCCCCAATTCCTCAATAAAATCATATATATATATATGCTAAAACATGAAACAAATGGGAAAGATTGACAACTCGAAACTTCTGAGAATCAAAAGATACATTAGGAACAGTATATAAATATCTTGAGAGGGGATATTTACAACACATATAAATGATAGCAGATTATTATCTAGAGTATATAAGGAACTTCTATAAATCAATTACAAAAAGACAACCTTATGAACAAAAAGATCAAAAATATGAATAAGCAATTAACAGAAGAGTCAACTTGAACCATCAACAAACACAAGCTCAAAATTGCTAATGATGAAGGTGATGTAAATAACATCACACTGAGACCCATTTCACACCAACCAAACTGACAGTTTTTCCAAATTTAACTGTATGATTAGTTAATAAAGTCACATGGTTATAAAAATGAGTAATCCAAATGTCTAATAATTGGGAATACTAAGTATATTATGCTACATCCATCTGATGAATATGGTAATTTAACTGACTGATATGAATACTATGTAACAATATAGAAAATCCTTATGCTAAGATGAAGAAAATAGTCAGCATTCAAAATATGTGACCAGAAATGATCAATTAACAGGAGATAAGATATAAATGATCAATCAGCACATACAAAGCTACAAATCAAGAAATCAGAGCATGCATATTAAGTTTAAATGAGAAATCACTCGTCCCACTATCGAGTTGTCAAAAGATATTTTTAAGAAATAATCTCTTGAATGGTGCATGTCCCAAGAATAAAGCATTTTCATACATAACTGTTGAGAATTTATATCAACTGGCACAACCTTTCTGCAGTTCTTTTTGACAATATGTCCAAAAATTTGTGTCAAACTTTTGACCTAAAAGTTCCACCTTTAGGACTCTGTCTTTAAAATGAAGAATTTTAGGGGCCGGCTGAGTGAC